AGGCCGCTTCCTGCGCGGCTGCGAAGGCGCGCGGCCCCGTCACCGCCGGAGCCCAGTAACCCACACACAGACCCCACCACAACCGCAAACCAGCTGAGGGGCAGACCGGACGGGGCTGTGCACCCTCCACCGCACACTCCCGGCCTCCGGGGTCCCCACGCACACGACGGGAACGCCACGCGACACACCCCGGCGGTCCCCGCACGCGACAAGGACGCCACGCAGTATGATCCAACTCTCACGTAGGACAGGAACACCAACGACACAACGTGGGTCCCTACACACATTACAGTTGCGACGCCCCGGAGACCCCACGCAGGAGACAGACACCATGCAGCGTGTTCCGACAGCCCCACGCGATGCAGGCACCGCACAGCACCCCTCCAAGGGATGACTGGTGCAAGAGCGGCCCCCCTTTGACCCTGCATCCTGGTCCCTCCGCACGGCCAGCGACGTCATCTCCCACCAGCCCCGTGCAGAGCTGCGTCTCCACGGGCAGGGCTTGCAGCCTCGGCGCTGTGGCCCGTGCTGTCCGGCCAGGTAGCCGCCAGGGCAGGCCCGTGTTGAGTCCTCAGGGACCGGGCTCCGTTCCTCCCGCAGACTGACGTGACCCCGTACAGCCTCCTTGTCCAGAGAGCCGTTCACACATCTGAGGGATACCCAGGGCATGGCCAGAGGGAGAACCCACTGTGTGTCCTTCCATAATCTGGCTGTATCGTTGGGGAGAGACCAACCAGAAAGTGCTGGGTGGGACAAGCCTGGGGCCTGGACTTGGACAGACTGTGCTGGGTGGCCCCCCGAGGAGGCAGCATCCAGCAGAGGCCTGGGGGCTGGGGACTCGAGGTGAGGAGGACAATTCTGGCTGCACTCAGCCCGAGGCAGAAGGACAGTCCAGTCGAGCTGGGCAATGACCCCTTTTCCTCTACAGGACAAAGGCATCTAAGCTGGCCTGAACATGTGGGGAGTCGTGGGGGGTGCCCACAGTGGTGGGCAGGGGCCAGCGGGCCACACTCACTTCAGCCCTTGTGACCTGACGCTCATCGCCTGCTGCTGCCTCCCCAGTGGGGGCTGGAGGTGGCCCCAAAGCAGCACTCCTCAGGGGCCGTGTCTGCCCTGGGAGCACCCGGCTGTGTCTGCAGGCCTCAACTGCCCCTCAGGCACGGGCAGGCATCTGGAGGGGCACCGAGGATGGCCAGGTAACCCCACACCTATATGGCAGACACAGGCAGGTGCCTGGGCACCTTGAGGTTCAGAGGTAGTGCTCCGCCTTCAAACACCAGGCCTTTCTGTGAGGAAACCCTCGCCTGCCCTCGCCTGTGCCCTGGGGGGCTGTCCCTTCCACTCGTCAATCCAGTGCCCCCAGCACAAGGCTTTTCTAGGCAAACATGAGAAAACTAGGAAAGGGATATTTAAAAAACAAGAAAAGGGACTTCTTTGCTTTCAAAGGCTGTATTCATGGTCCTCATTTGGACCAAAAGCATGTCTGTGGCACCTGAGAGAGTTGATTCCTTCCACGTGGACTTGAGTCCCATGCAGACAGCCTGTACGTGAGAGAAGGCGGTTGGAGCTCCAGAGGGCCGGCCTGGAGGGGCTCCCGGCCGAGCACACAATTTCTCCAGCTCCTCTGGCCAAGCGGGCGCGCCCAGGTGGGCTCCGAGCCCGAGGCCCCCGAGCCCGAGGCCCCCCAGACGCGCAGGGCTGGCTCCCTGTGCTTCCTCCCTCTGCCCTCTGGCTTTGCAGGGTTCCAGGAAGGTGTCTCGGGAAGGGGCCAGGTGGAGGAGCCAACACTCCCACAGCTTCAGAGCCCAGAAGGAAGCCGAGGTGGGTGTGCAGGAGGGTGCAGGGGATAGGTGAAGGGTGAAGGGCCCAGAGAAGTAAGGAGGGACTGCTCTGGTCTCTAAAATGTCTCTGCCTCCATGGACTTTGAGGTCGTCTTCCCCAAAAGATAATGGAGCTTCTGGAGCAGCCAAGCCCACCCTACCCACCAAGGGCCAGGGCAGCTGTGCCTGGAGTGAGTCAGGCAGGCCCTGTCTTCTCCACAAGCCCAGCTGGGGGGGGCTCCCACATGCTGGCCTTCCTGCCTCCAACCCATCCCAGCAGCTGCCCTGGCCAGTGGCCTGCTCCTCCCACTGTCCCCTGCCACAGGCCATGCACCACACTGGCAGGTGGGGGGTCCAGGCCACAGGCACTGCCATGTCAGGGGACGGGGACAGGAACCAGCGAGCAGCAGGCACCAGGCCCGCCCGGCTCACTCTCCAGCCCTTGCCATGCTGACTGACGGGTGTGGGCAGCTGGTGGTGCACACGCTCACCCCCGCATGCGCACACGCTTGTGGAGATTATACCCCCATGTGCACGAGCCAGGCCTTGGGACCAGGAGGATGGAGACCAAGTTCTGCCCCACGTGGCCTCCATCTCCTCCAGCTGAGGAGGCGAAGGATTGACAAACCTGCCTATAGGGGACGTGGTCACTCAGGTGCTGCGGAGGCCTCCAGGGGCTGGGGGCTGGCTTTGGAGCCAGCAGCGCTACAGGCCAGAGATGAGGGCGCTGGCAGTGATGGGGCGCCCCTGGCCTCAGGGCCAGCTCAGAGGCCCGGCTGGGGAAATGGGCTGGAAGGCTCAGAAAAGCAGGCCCCGACAGAGACCCCCGAGAGACAGCTTCTGGGGGGAATGGCTCTGCCCTGCTTGACTTCCACCTGCCACCTGTTCCCTGCTCCGTGGGAAGGAAACACCTGGTCTCAGACAAGCACAGCTGCATTGTCAGGAACGTGCTAAGATACTGTTCTAAAACCTTAAATTCTAAACAAAAATTACTCAGGTAACATGAGCTTGGTAAAAATTTAGAAAAGACTTTTGTCTTAGTTTGGGTTCCACCAAAAGCAGACCCCAAGGCAAAGTTCTGAGTGCAGATCGTTTATTTGAGAGGTGTTTCCAGGACACACAGATTAGGGATGGAGAAAGGGAGGGAGGGAAGGCAGGACACCAAGTGCGTTACAAGCTTGTCACCCGGGCTCTTGGAGCTGGATCTTGGGGTGCAGAGTCATCTCGGGATGGGGGGGCAGCCCTGAGCAAGATCAGAGCCCAAGGTGGGGAGGGGACATTTGCTGGAGCGGGGAGATTGATTATATATGGGATTGGCCAAATAAAGAAACACATTCCTCATGATAAGAGTCAGGGTTGTCACTGTTAGAGATGGGAATTAAAAATATGGGAAGAGATAAACAAACTGTGGCATTGGACTGGAGTCAGCAATCCCTGCGTGAACCCATGAATTCCAATGTTTATAAACAAGTAGAAAAACTATAGATGTAAATGTGTGTTTGTACAGACATCCAGGTAATCCCTAACTCTGCCCAGGGAGAGGCCCTGAAAGAGGGACAACCCAGCAGCCGCAAGCACCCCGAGAACCTGGGTCTTGGCTTCTAAATTCCATCCTCCGTGGAAGGGAACCAGTGTTCTTTGAAGGAATGACTGGTGGCAGGGCTTGGACAGAGAGAGGAAATCTTACTGTGTCAGGCAGTATGGAGAGCTCAAAGCGAAACAGGAACGTGTCGAAAGGACTTTTGGGCAGCTCAGAGAGGAGATCACTGCCACATCCGAGAGCATAACGGTGATCGCGGATTATAACCATGGAATCAGAAAACCGCGTCTGCATATTCAAGTATTTATTAAAATAAGCATATTCATAAGCTGAAAGTCTGATAAGAAAAGAGCTATTTGCATAGTTTTTTTTGTTTGTTTTGCTTTTCTATGGAAATGTATAGTTTTAAAGTTCTTCCCCACAAGGCTCCTGTCAATTGCAAAGGGAAGGGTGAGTTCCCAGGGGAGACACCGCCAGGTACCACCATAATCAAGCGATCAAAGTGGAAACCGTCAGGCACTGGATGCACCGCAACCCTGCACTGCCTGGTGTGGTGGGACGGGCTGCTGTGGCTCTCCTGCCAAAAAGGCATGACCTGCATCTGACCATGACGAAACCTCAGACGCCCACACAGAGGGACTTTGTACAGAAGGATGGGCCTGGAACCTTCAGAGGTGACAGTGAGGAAAAGGCTGAGGAATATTCCAGACCGATGGAGAAGAACAAGACGTCAGCTCTGCGAAACCTGGGGACCCTTGCTGGATCTCACTGCGATGTCAGTGGAACAACCAGAAAGCCCCAGATGTGGCCTGAGGACCGGACGATAGCGACCCTGCCCAGGACAGAGCACCATGTCAGCGGGGATCTCAAGCGCTTTATGGGGCGCGATGGGGGTTCCTGCACTGTTCTCGCAGCTTCTCTGTAAGCTTGAGGTTGTTAGAACACACAGAATTTATTTGAAGTGTCATGGGGAGGAGGCATGCATTCTCAGTTCGGCCCTGGTGCGCCTAAGCTGCCCAGTGGAGCAGGGCTGCTGAAAGTCCTACCGTTGGGCAAGGTGGGGGTGAGGCCTGGGGGCACGAGCAGGACCCTGAGAGCATCGGCTGCAGCTCCAGCCCAGATGGCAGAGGAACTGGCCCCCTTTCCTGGTCCAACACGAAAGCAGGTCAGAGAACACAGGTCTGCTCTTTAAATGTTTGAAAACGCGGAAGGCAGGAAGCTCTGTGGAGCCGGGAACGAGGAAGGCAGGCAAGTCACAGTGGTGAGCAGGATCGTGACTGAGCGGCCTGCATGAGCTTGCAGCTGGCCTCACACCCACTGAGGACCGGGAATAGAGGTCCACAAAGGGGACATGGAGATTCTGCCTACCAGCCTGGAGGTGGAGCCCAGAGAGCAACCAGCCCAGACCAGGGCAAGAGGGTAGAGGGTGCCAGAAAAACCAGGAACCGGCAGAATATAGGACACACTCAACGACCAAAAACTGTGTGGAAGAGGCTGGTGGATGATGTAGGTCTTTGCTGTAGGCACAGAGACAACCCAGTAGGTGAAACAGAAAGCAAGGCAACTGTTAACTTCAGGAAAAACAAAGGGAAAACCTAAGTGGGGCTCCCCAGTTGGCTTAGCAGTGCACAGTATCTACGTAGCCATAATAGTGTGCACAACAGCTGAGCTCATTCGGGAAGATCGAAGAGTGAGCAGCGGGCGGGCAGAGTGCTGGGCAGAGCTCCTCCAGGGACATCTCACAATGTCTAAAACTCGTAAATGAAGGGAACAGCAGCAAGAACACACAATGTGGAGAAATGGAGAAAAGTCAGACAAGAAACAGCTGGAAGGCTTGAGAGAGGCCGATGCCCTGAGGTCAGGCGAGGCGGCTCAGTGACCACTCCGGACAGGTCGGGAGAGTCCAGACCTTTGGGCTCCTTTTGTTCCTTTCATCTGTGTATCTGCCTTTCTTCGGCCAGACTTAAACCAAAAGATCAAACCTCTGAACTAAGTAACTCTGAATGAAAATAACAACCAAAAAAGCAAACTCACTTTGCCACCAAAAAATGCCACAGTTTGGGACATTAAAAAACACATTTTGAATACGCCATTGATGAAGGAAGGACTCAAAATGGGAATCAAAAGTTTTAAATCGGATGACGATGGAAATACTGTCAGTCACAATACCTGGGTGCAGCCAGCGTGGTCCTTGGTCATCTTCAGATTCTACACCAGAGACAAAAAAGTGAGGGAACTGCAGGTGTTTTTAATTTCTTCTTTGTGCTGACCTGCTTCCTCTGCCTTTCCGGAAAAGCCACTTCCAGGTTTATTGAACTTACCCGTTGTTCTTCCTGGACCATTCTGTCTGGGAGGGACTCCCCTTCTCTCGTGGAACCTTTGGCGGGGTCAGCCTTGTGGCCCACACAAGGGCTATTCATCCCAGGTGGCCTCCCCTGGGGTGGTCAGGGGCCGGGGTGGGAACAGGGTCACACAGGGTCCCCGTGTCCAGCTCTCAGCTGAGACCTGCCCCACGGGGGTCCGCGAGGTGGTGTTCAGGGGGCTGAGCAGAGTGCCTGGCCCAGGTGTGTGAGAGCCGCCACTGGCAATGAGGTGAGCCCAGTGCGCCGCCGCGCCCCAGGACCTGCCCATCTCCCGTGCAGGCAGCGCCCCCACAGGCCTGCCCCCTCCCCACCCAGGCGTTGCCCTTGTCCTCTTGGAGGTGGGGGAGAGGGAAGAGTGGGCTCCTTTCCCGCGCCAAGCAGAGCCACTCAGCTGCTCAAATGTCCACCCCACAGCCCCGAGGCACCACCGGCCCCCCCCAACCAGGAGCCTGGCCTCAACTGCCAGATGAAGCTGATGGGGCAACATGGAGTCCGCCCAGCCTCCGGGGGCCTGGGCAGGGCAGGGCAGGGCAGGGCAGGGCAGTCATGGGAGCCAGAGCATGGCTCAGCCCCGTGTCTAGTCTCACACCCAGGGTGGGAGCAGCGTGGCCCCAGGCCACTGGCTCTGGAACCCCATGCCCTGGGGGAACCCCTGCCCGCCCCACTCAGCCAGCACAGGCCTCAGAGGAATGAGCAGGAATGAGGGAGGGGCGCACAGGCCTCGGCCCGCCCGGGGCTCCGAGCCCAGGGGCTCACTTCCTGGCCTGGCTCTGTGGACACATCCTCAGCCTGGAGGGCGCTCGTGGAGGAGCAGAGAGAGCCCGTGTGGGCGTCCTGCCCTGCGGACCCGCCCCTGCCCGCAGGACCCAGCTCCCCGAAGCGTCCTGTTCCGGCCCAGGCTCCAGCCACACCCCGCCGATCACAGGGTGGCCGCCTCCTGCCTGTGCCCTGCAGCCCTGGGCCGGCCAGGACCCAAGGCCTGGGCCCAGGTCCTGTGCATGAAGCAGGAGGCACGGGAGTGCTGAGCTGCCGCAGAGGGGGAGCTGGGCCCCGGCCGGGGCCTTGGCGTTGGCAGCATCTTTCAGGGACCCTCTGTGGTCCCTTTGTCCAGCAATCATTGCTGAGTGCCACCAGCTGGGCACAGGGGGCACGACGAGGGCGGAAAGGTAGTCTTCCAACAGCACCCTCCAGAGATGGCCCTCCAGGGGCCCAAACTGCCTGCTGCCAGTAACGACCAAAGGGCCCAGTGGTCAAAACAATCTCCCTGGGTGCCAAGGCTTGTGTGACACACTCAGAGGGTCATGGTGTCACCATCCTGTATCATAGCAGGGCCACCAAGCTTGGGTGGCCCAGGACCTGCCCAGGGCACCGTGTAGCAAGGGGGTGGGAGCCCAGGTGAGGCCCAGGCACCCATGGCAGGGTGTGGACAGGGGCCAGGGGTGCCCTGAGTGGCAGACCCACAACAAGGAGCCCCTCTGTGCAGGCCCTGCCTTCCAGACACACTCACTTGACCTCCCAGCAGTCAGGGGAAGCCTGAGATCCAGTGAGGGTCCCCCTCCTGGCCCCTCACCTCTGCCATGTCTGTCCCTTGCCCCCATATTTGCCCTCCTCCCCTCTCTTGGGCCCACAGCCCCCCAGCTCTCTCCATCTGTCCCAGCCACACTTGCTGGGACAAGGTCTGCCCCACCCTGGGCTCCCAGCCCTGTCCTGGCCCCTCTGTGCCCCAACCTCAGGTCCTGGGGTCACCTCCTTTTGAGTGTCCTGTGTCCCTTCCCTGTCAGGGACCCGAGGCAGCAAGTGGCGAGCAGGCTCTCACTAACTCTTGGCGAATGGATGATGGCAGTCAGAGGTGAGGCACATCTCCAGGCCCAGCCACTGGTGGGGTCAGCCGCCCCCAGCCAGGTGCTCCGCGAGTCGGCTCTTCCTGGCTGAGGGCGCTGGGCGTTCCCTGAGCCCCTTACTCTCTCTGGGCCTGAGTGTGGCCGGGCTGGCTCCGGAGCTTGGGCCTGTTGCACATGAGGTGGGGGGATGCTCCACACCCAGAGAGGAGGGGGCACGCCAGGGCGGGGGACCAGGACCCCGGCAGGAGAAAGAAAGGGGAGGCCACCCTCAGAGCAGCATCCGCTGGGGCTGAGCATCCTGTCGTGGGGGGAGGAGCAAGAGGACAGAGGGCAGCTGGTGTCCAACCCTCTAAGTCTCTCCAAGCTGGTCCCTGAGGGTCTCGGGTGCCTTAAGAGGGCCCTTGCTCTGACCACGCGCCTGCCAGCGCCTGGCAGTGGGGGAAGCAGCGTGAATCCCGGTCTGTAGCCTGCTGGGCCACACCAAGCGCTCAGGCCCCTCCAGCCCCAGGCCGGTACCCGCGGCCCTGTAGCCCAGGGCCGGCCGACAGCCCCCTCCTTGCACAGGCCCTGGGCCCCTCTCTCCTCGTAAATCGGTTCCCCGAGCCGGCCCCCTCCCGCCCTCCTGCCGTCATTGCTGGCAGGCTCTGCGGTGAGCTCACTCCTTACATAAGGCGTCTGAGCTATTTCTTGGGGGCAATGAGCTCCCCCCACAGGGGCTCCGTTTCCCCTTCTTCTCCAGCCATCAGCCACCACAAGCCCAGGGCATGAGAGGCAAGGCCCTTGTTCTCCCCGGGCCCCACCCACCCTGTGTGGAGAGAGGGGCTTCCCCTTACCCTGCAGAACAAAGGTGGAAGAGAAGAGACAGCAGCTCATTCCAGATTCCCTGGGGCGCTGAGGGCAGAGACCCAGCCCCACTCCCAGCCTCAGGCAGGAAGGGAGGAAGGAAGGGATTTCCCTGGGGTACTGTGAGTTGCTGTAGCTGTCGCTGTCCCCTGTCGCTGTCCCCTGTCACTTTCCCCAGTGGGATGGGGATGGGCTTGCCTCTCACTCGGGCCTGGGAGTCGCCCCCATGGGCACCCCCACCTGGTGCCCTTGGCCCCGAGTCCAACCACGTTTCAGCGGGGACCTGTGTTCTGGGAAGGAGTGGCGACCAGATTTCACTTTGGTTCGGATAGGTGTTCCTCGGTGAGGTGCCGCAGGAGCCCCCAGCAGGACGGCGCTGTTTCCCAGAGGTGGGCACTGGCCCAGGGAGCCCCCTGAGGCTGCAGAGGGTCCATCCTCACAGTCAGGGGAGAAGGGCCCCCGGCCTCCTAGCGCTGCCCCCTTTCTGTGGCCTGGAATAGAAGGCAGCCCGTGAGGACACAGCGGGCCCCCAGAGGACTCAGCTGAGGAGGCGTCCAGACAGCATGTGCTGGGCACTTCAGGGGCTCAGCCCAGTCTGGCCTGGGGAGGACCAAGACAGGTGCCTTCCTGGCCTGGAAGACAACTCCCAGGGTGGAGGGGTAGCCGCCAGGCCCGCCGCGAGCTTCTCCCCCGAGATGCCCCTTCCCCATGCCTCTGGGCCCGGGCTGCGAAGCCGTCCGCCGTCGAAGCTGCTCTTGGCCTGGGCTCCGGGCTTGCACTTCCTCAGCTGCAGAAGAAAAAGGGGAGGAAAAGTGGCCCGGAGCAGCGGCTGCTCCCGCCCCGCCCAAAGGACGGACTCCCAGACGCTCCTGCCGGGAGCCTGTCGCTCGCCACGCCCTGCTTGGGGACAAAGCTCCCAGCAGCAGGGACGCTGGGGACCAGGGGCCAGCGGGTGGCGGCAGAGCCGGAAACTCCTCGGCCCCTCCTGCTGGACTCCCAGCCCCGGGCCTCTGTCCGCCTAGAGAAACGATGTTTTCCTTTCTTTTCAGAGACTCGTTCTTGGAACTTACACCCTCTTGGGTTTGCTATTTTTACCCACCCTGAGCCTTCCGGTCTCCATGGCGACGCCTCCAAACAGCAGATTCCAGGCGGCAATGACGTCACCTTTCCCTTTCCTGCCGCCCAGGCCTCCAGCCGCCGCTACGCTGCCGGGCCAGGGGCTATGCGGCGGCCCTGGGTGCCTTCCCAGGCTCCGCAGGCCCCAGTCAAGCCCCGGGGCCTGTAGGCCATGGCCCGCCGTCCCTGCCCCCCACTGCCGTCAGTCAAGGCCTTCAGCGGGCAGCGTCTGGCCTTCCTCGGGCCCCTCCGGGTGACTGTGCTGCGGCCCCAAGGCAGAGGCCCCAGGCCCAGGAGCAGTCCGGTCCCTCCTGCTCCGGGATTCCTGCCAGGCTGGCCGTCCTGTGGGAGCTGCCGGGCCCCAGTGGCCGGGGAGGCAGGGCAGGCTGGCGCCGGGCCTTGGTGGCTGCTGGGCCAGCAGTCTGTCTGGCCTAGGAAGCCCCTGTGGTCCCTGCATCAGAAACTGTTACGCGCCTGCGGCCCCTGGGCTTCCAGTCCCCTCTGGGAGGCTGTCACACTCCCTGGCCAGGGGCTGCTGCCCTCCTGTGTGGTCCCCAGGCCTCAGGCTCCACACCTTGGTCCTGGCCAGGCAGCTGTACTGGAGGGGCCACAGCCCCTCCACCTGGGCCTAGGTCTCCTGCCGCTGGTCACCAGGCGTGTCTCTGTCCGGGCTTCACTTTACGCAGCACTCCCTGCGACGTCCGGCCTGAGGTCTGCCCTCAGCCCAGACCAATGACGTAGACACTCAGAGCTCGATGTCCACCTCTGACCAGGACAGGGTGGGAGAAGGGCCCCACTTCTGGGTACTTGCTTTGTTGTAGACGCAGACACTTGCTGAAACGAAGTCTGGCAAAGCCTCCTAGGACAGGAGGGTGCAGTTTGCAGAGTCCTGTGTGCCCTGCATCCCCATCATGGTCAGAAGTTTTTCCTTGCGCAGAGGACCCAGCCCACCAGCTCCTGGCCCTGCCTGCACTGGCTGCCTGGCCTGGTGGGATGCTGGGGTCCCATCCCTTAAGCAGGCCCCGCCCTCTCCATCACCTCACGGAGCCCACAACAAAGCAAACTCCAGCCCCGCCCTCACAGCCTCAGCCAGAAAGCAGACGTTGGGTTCGGGGTCTAGGGGGAGGGGAGCAGGCAGGGCCGTGGGGGCACTGTGGGGGCCAGGCCAAGGGTCAGGGCCACCCTCCGTCCCGCCAGCAACATGAAGGGCAAGAAAATGTGCAGCAGATACCTCACTGGCTGACTTCACTGCCCCCAGAAATGACACTGAAGGAAGGTGGTTCAAGGCCCACGCTCCTGCCCTCCTGCTGGATTTCAGGTATGAAGTCCCAACTCGCCTGTCTGACGCAGGCAGGTACGCTCACAGGTCTGGGCAGGAGGCACGCAGGTGGGCGGCCTTATCTCCAGAGCCCCACACAGACACGTTCACGAAAAAGGTGTGCAGAGAACCTGGCTGGGAGGGGGGTGCCGGTGGGCCTTTCAACTGGCCCCGCCCCCAGGAGGCTTCCTGTCCTTGGCTGCGGCCTCGAGCTCAGGCCAGGAGGAGGCCTCACGAGAGAGCCCACGGCAGGTCTGGCCGACCAAACGAAGCCAGGGTGTGGGCCGGCCCTGCTTCCTGAAGCCCAGTGGCTCTAGCAGCAGGGTGTCCACAGGGTCCCTAACCCAAGAAGCTCTGCCCGGACAAAGGCGCGGGGTCTAGGGGCCGTGGGACAGCGAGGGCAGGAGGCGGGCTTCTAGTCTGGGGGTGAACGGGCTGTGGCCCTGGAACCGGTCAGGGGGCAGCTGTGCTAGGCTCTCTGTGCCTCTGTCCTCTGCCCTCCTCCTTGGTGTTTCCATGTAACAGCTCAGGCTTCTGGGACGGCCCCGGCCCCGCCTCTTCCTCTGGACCCTTGGGGCCCCAGAGGTGGCCCTGGTCTGAGCTCTGGTCAGCCAGACGTGTCCTGCCCGGGCTGGGATCCAGGTAGGGGCTAGGGGGCTCTGGCAGTGAGGGGCAGTGAGTGCGTCTGGGGGGGGGACCCCGGCCAGGCATGAATGTGGAGTTGACTTCTCCCATCAAGACTATTGAAGGCCTACCTGAGACAAGTGTACAGACCAGCAGGAAAGACTTCCTGTTCTCAAGTGCTTACAGATCCATGGGAGACAACAAAAAATTAAATTTCCACATGTTCTATGTTAGATGGGAGTACGTAGTCTTAGGAAGGATCGACCAAAGTGAGGTGGGTCGGGCACCAAGTAGAGGTGGGCACTACTTGAGTAAGAGGTGAGCCTTCTGGGCCTGGCACAGTAGGTGCAAAGTCCCTGAGGCCAGGGTGCATTCAGGTCCCTGCAGGGTCCATGCAGAGGGGGGTGACAGGTGATGAAAAGAGGGAGGCCTGTTGTCTGCTCCCAGCTAGGCTGCCCCCGGGGGTGGGGGCTTGGGGGGTGCTGCTCTGAGCCAGGGAGGCCCCAGAGCCACAGCCCCTCACTGATGGGCGGGGGTGGGGCGGGTGCTGGGTGAGCGGGTGGGCGCTTCCCCGGAGGAGGAAGGGAAGTTCAGTTAATAGCAGCCCTGTGCCTCCACTTCGCTGCTGGGAAAACTGAGGGTGAGATAAGAGAAATCGATTCGAAACAGATAGGCTATTTTTCTGAACATTTTGTTCCCCATCCTGCTCCCAGCCTGGCACAGGGCAGAAGCCACCAGCCGAGGGGAGGGTCCTTGCCCAGCCGGGCCCAAGCCCCTCTTCTGCCCCAGACGCTCCCCACCCCACTCCACCCAGGGACCCACTGCCCACCGTTCTGGCCGCAGCATGAAGGTTGAAGTACACAGGCAACTTCAAAGGGTGGGGCAGAGGCCTGCGGGCTCCCTTCCTGCACCCCCACCCCACCCCCAGCGCCCACAGACGCCACAGGGAGGGTCCCCGTGGCCGTGGGCCTGGCATTGGCCTCTGCCCAGCACCTTCCCCAGACCGGTCCACCTCCAGGCCAGCGGGCCCTCATCTCCGTGAGTAATATTTAACTTGGATGGGCTGGCGGACAACTGCAGGGGAGAAGTTAACAACAAGTTTGGATTGCAATCTGCTTGCCAGAAAGGAGGGGGGGAGGGCAAAGTTGAGAAGGAGAAAGGAAGGCGGGAGGGGGTCCTGAAAGGCCAGCATCCCAGGAGGCTGGAAGGACTGCCCTGCACGCTGGGCATGTGGCTGAGCCCCTCCAGCCTCAGTATCCCCTGCAGGACACACCCAGGTTGGGAGGAGCCTTGGGATTCAGCTCTGGGTCTGAGAACACCAGACATGCACACACACACATACACACACACAGAGAACACGTGGTTGTGAACAGAAAGGCCCGCCTGCAGCTCTGAGGCTTCAACACAAGGATGGAAAACCCTCAGGGCGGGAGCAGGGCTGAGGTCTTGCCAGGGGGCACGGAGGGCAGAACTGCAGCCAGGCCAGGCCCCCCTCCCAGAGGTCTGTGCCCGCAGGATTGACCACCCAGTGCTCAGCTGAGCAGGGCCCCGGCCAGCGCACCTTCCCCCTCTGTGGGAAGGACGGCCTTGCTGGGCGGCTGCTCTGGGGGGCTCAGGACACTGGGCTCTTCTGCTGTCGCCCAGCCTCTCCCAGCTCCAGGTGTCAACACCTGAGATGGTTGAGGGGACCCTGCGAGGGCCCCACTCCAGAGGACCACGGAGAGAGATCCTCAGCTCCACCCTGAGTTGGGGACGGGTCACTGGGTCCCCATGCTTCGTGGGGCCCTCTTGCATCTACAAGGACCCATCTCCGCCAGCAGCCTCCAGCCTGGGGCCCCGCGCCATCGTGCCAGGCAAAAGGCTGCACCTCTCTTCTGGAATGTAGCAAATCTAAGATGTCAAACAGTTGATTTTCCACAAGCGTGCATTTTCCCAGGGAAAAACACACCTCTCCAACCTTGTAGTTTGTCCTGATTTGCTCTTGGGAAGAAACATCTACCCATAGTGGGGGCCCTGTCTCACCTGCCCTTAAGGAAGGGCACCAAAGCTGCCCGGGTGGGCACCCTGGCACCTGGCGGAGGGCGGCCTTGCCCAGGGGCCGGGCCCCTAACCGAGTCACACCATCTGGTGGAAGATGCTCAGAGCCCGCCCTTGCCACTCTGGTACCCTTGCTCCACTCTGCAACTGTCCTTTCCCTGGGTGAGACTTTCGCTTTGAATATCCTCTTGAGAACCCGACTCCCAGCCTGGACTGCCACGTCTCTGCCAGAGCTTCTGGACTCGTGGCCCCTCTTGCGGGCCCGGCAGACAGCCCGGGCAGAGTAAAGATAGTCCCTCCAGAATGTGTGTTTAATTGCCACATGCGGGGCTGTGGGGGGACCCGGGGCTCCAGGATGGGGGTCTCCTGTGGCTGATTCCTTCTTGGTACTTTGCTTCTCTGGAGGCAAGTCAGCTGCAACTGACGTTTCACAGCCAGGCCGGAGAGTGGGGTCTGGGAGAAAATCTGCAGGGGCTGCCGGCGGGCGAGCGCTCTGCTCCGCCCCCACCCCAGACGGCACCTGTGGTGAAAGTTATGGGAGCCACGGCCGCAGAGCGCCCGGGAGCCACCCAGAGGCTGTGGCCCGAACGCTCACGGCCCCCAGATCCATCTGCTGAGCTCTAGCCCCCACTGGGGAGCGGGGCCTTTGGGAGGTGACTGGGGCCTGAGGATGCGCCTTTACAGGTGGGATCCAGGCCCTCACGAAGGGACGCTCAGAGCTCTTGCCGCACCTCCCACCACGTGAGAACACAGAACCTGCCGGGGCCTGAACCCGAACCCGAACCCAGCCGCGCCGGCACCCTGATCGCAGATGTCCCGCCTCCAGAACCAGGAGGAATAAACTTCCACTGTCTGTTCGCCACCACCTGTGAGATTTTGTTATCACATCCCCAGCGGACTATGGCCACGGTGGTCTCGGCCCTTCCCGCCAGCATGCTCCCATGGCTGGGCAAACAAGAAACGGGGAACTGAGGCTAGGAACTCGTCTGCCCGGCAGGAGGGTGTCCCCAGGGTGGACGGCAGCTGGCCTCCAGGGGATTCCTGCTGCCTCTACGGTGGCCCCTTCATACTGATGTGGAATTTGGGGACCGTCACGAGAGCCCCCTTGAAGCCCGCAGCCTTGATGCAGCAGAAGGAGTCTGGAATGAGACCATGGGGGCCAGTGGGGCCCTGCTTCCAGGCCCTTCCCCAGCCCCTGGCCACTCACAGCCAGGCTGGCCCCCAGCTCCGCATCACGGCTGACCAGAGCTGGCTTCTGCGTGCAGAGGCCCAGCGTGGAGAGGAACGTGTGGAAACGTGCCGACATTTGTACACAATTCCACGCTGA